GAGCAACAAATGAGCCAGGAATAGAAAGGCGCGTGAACATCATCAGCGACTTTCTTCAACTCTCTCAATGTGCCATATAATTATTTAAACTTCAATTTCAATTTATTTTAAAAAAAGCTCATATCGTATACTCCTCAGTCCTCACCTCCTATCGACCTGTCGACCTGTCGACCTGTCGTCCACACTTAAAAAAGACTCAAAGAGAGCCTGTGATAAAAATGACTCACTCAAAGAGAGCCTGAAAAAACATGAATAATTCAGCAACACGATTTGTGACCAATAAAAGTGCAACCACAGGTGAGCCACACACACTCCGTGCCGCGGTCGAAGGTCGTATTGTTGCTACAGTTTGTTGGCGTTCATAACTTCCGAGTTCCGTCTCACGCCTCTCGATGGACACAGTTAGTTGTACGAAGTATTAGACAACTACATAGCTTGTGCCAACTCATGGTTTGAGGCCATAATATATATATTTGTCAAAAAGAAAAGACCTACCACGAACGAACGTTTGTGTGTATTCGCTTTATTCGCTTGGATCATCAGCCTGAGCCTAGGTCTCATGTATACGTACATATTTTTGTAGTTAAAAGCAAGAGTCGTTCAGCAACAATGCCGTTTTTTTCATCGTCTAAGGGGAAGGACAAGAGCAAAGATTCGAGAGATGCGCTCGAAAATAAGAACACAAAGGAAACGTTAGCCGCTAAGAACACAAAGGAATCGATAGCCACCTTAAAGCTTAAGTATGATGCTCATCCGGACGGCATGCGCCGGGCTGTAAGTATGAAAAATGTCACAGACGCCCTGCACCTCACTCATCTGGTGGCCAAGAGTAGGTTACCATCTAATAAGAGCTTCAAGGCTTTAACAGGTATGCAGAACCAGTTTTAAGGTTGTGTACAGTGTTGTGACGCACATTTACTTATTACGTGGTGTATGTACCAGTGTACATAATACAAATCCACGCGGACGTATACAAACATGATATAAATAGTTCAATGTAGTATGATGTATATATGTATATATATATACAGGTATGTATGTATGTATATGTACATATTATATATATATATATACATATATATGTTTATATATATATATATACATATATGTTTATATATATATATTTATATATATATATATATATAATGTGTGTGTGTATATATATATGTGTGTGTGT